CGGGGAGGTGAGATGCTTTTATTCCCTTCAGGTGTAGATCATCAGCTTGAGTCCAGCACCCTGCTCTTCGTACAGCAGTGGGCAGCTTGGATCCACCTCACCATCACGTCAGCCTTCTTCCTCACCCCTTGGCTGCACAGGAGGCATTGGACACGACCCAGAGTGGCTTATGTTGCAGAGTTAAAATTTGCAGTGAGCAAATCTGTGTTGGTTACATGGTATTTCTTTCTCCATCTCTCCCGGTGCTTTAGGTGCTCTTCCTCACTCTGGGATGTGCTTCTGTTGTTGAAGGTTCCATCTTGTATCATCTATATCCAACCAGACTCCTTCTGCCTGACCAGGTTACCTGTTTCTCCCAAAACACTTGGGAGACAGGGTTTATAAGGATTGCAAGTCTTTTCCTTAGTTAAATTAGGCTTCCTGGGACACGGTGCATGAGAAGCAGAATGCATGCAGCAGCATGTCCCCGCTGTTCTGGCTTCTCAGGAGCAGGAATGGCTTTGCTATGGCATTTACTTCATAGGACTTGATGTGCTCTGACATACGCAGTGGTGACAAACTGGTAGTCCCTTTTTCCATGCCTGGGGACAGAGTGTGTTGGCAAGATGGAAGAGTGCTCAGAAAACAAGCTTCACAGTACTGATGCAGTTTTGCGGATTTGGATCTCTTTGCAACAAATGGGTCCTAAGAGGAAATTTATAACAGTGTATCCCTTTAAAGCAACAGCTATTTTAACACTGGGAAATGACATACACATCTCAAGAGGTTTGCAGTATTTTTTTAGCAGTCACTTCATTAAATATTTTAGGAGCTGGAAGTCCTTGTAACAGCAGTCATTCAAAGTTTGAATCAAACCCATGTTACTATCAGTTGGAGAGAAGTGGTTTTGCAGATGCTGTTCCAGCTGCAAGTAGTTATATTTACAGCTCAAATTTGGGGAAGCCACAGATTACAGTAATGACAGTGGGAATTCTAAGCAGGTAACTTGTAGGAAAACCCTGGTAGAGGTCTTGTTAAATTTTCTATGACTTGTATTTTACTGGTTTTGTGGAGGAATGGGAAATGGGAGTAGCCAAAACCAGTGGGGGGAGGTGGGAAGCCAAAACAGGGCTTTGGGGCCTCTGCCCCTTATATATAAGATAGTTGCCTTGAAAGCCATAAAGGTAAGTTACAACACAAAGGTTGAATGACCCTTCAAAAAGCAAGGTCACACAGCATTTAAATTTTCTGCTGCAGAGCAGCCTCTTCTCTGTGCTCCTGTAAATCATCTACCATTAACAGGGGAAACAAGTCTGTGAATACACATACAAGCACAACCCCTTTTCAGAAGAACTGGCATGAGCTCCTGCTCACGTGTGCAGTGGGCGACACTCGGTCACCGACAGGCTCACCGACGCTCCCTTCTGGCATACTAGTCCTGGTCCTCACCATCAGTGCTGCCAGATGAGGGGAAGATTCTCCCCGAAAACAACAGGCAGATAGGCATTTGGTATTGATTTCCACCAAGAAATTAGGCAGGGGGTTGTAAAATGAAATAGTGGACAAGCTGAATGGTGGCTCTTGTGCTGGTTTTCTGGGAGGCGGCTTCTTCAACCTGCTGCACACACCTCTTCTGTAAATGTGACAGTAACTGTATGCTAAGGATAACCCAAGAAACTCAAAGATGAAAAGAGAACACAAGAAAAGCTGCTTCAGAGTAAAGACTGATGAGCTAAGAGGATTTCTATTGTCATAAAGTAGTTTTTCCCATAAAAAAGCAGGTAAGAGCACATTGTTCAGAAAATGGTGGAACTATATTATTTTGAATCAAGAGCTTCTCCTTGGAGCTGGTCATCTGCTTAGCGAGAAGTGGCTTCAGAGAAACCACTGGGAATTCTTTTCCCTAGTTAAGAGGCTGAGCCATAAGAGTGCAATTGAATTTCCTTTCACTTACCAAACTAAGTCCTGAAGCACTGAAGAAGTATTTTGCTCAGGTTTTGCTGGATTTCTCCGGTTCCAGCCACTCCAGTGCCATCACCTCCCTGCCAGACTTCTAAAAGCAATTTCTGATTTTTTTTTCAGAAGTGAAGCAAAATAAAATTGCCAAACCCACCTGAAATCAGTGCAGCCAAAGGTAATGGCTTCCCAAACCTTGCTCTCAGTGCACAGGTCTTCATGGGTTAACTGTGACACACTGTTCATAAAATGCACCTTTGTCAGGAAATATTTATGTTAGCAGCTGTACCGGCAAGGTTACTACCAAAATATCCTTCTATGCTTTGGGGTTGGGTTGTTGGTTTATTTGTTTTGTTCTTGTTTGGGTTTTTTTTTAATCCTCGTCCTATTCTAAATAGGGAAATGATTCATTCCTCTCTTTCGGTTTAATTTTACTTCAGCCTACTGTTTTCTGTTTCAGATGGAAGGAAAACTAGTTTGGTCATAAGGAAAACATGACTGCATAAGCTTGGCACCCAGAAGACAGAACTAGACCTGTTTGTATCTTAGAATTGTAGAATGGTTTGGGTTGGAAGGGACCTTAAAGATCATCTAGTCCCAACCTTCCTGCCATAATCAGGGACATTTTCCACTAGACCAGGTTGCTGCAAGCCCCATCCAACCTGGTTTTGAACAATTCTAGGAATGGGGCATCCACATTTTCTCCGGGCAACATGTTCCAGTGTCTCACCATCCCCACAGGGAAGAATTTCTTCCCAATATCTAATCTAAACCTGCCTTCTGTCAGTTTGAAGCCATTCCCCTTTGTCCTGTCACTACATGCCCTTGTCCAAAGCCTGTCTCCAGCTCTCTTGTAGCCCTTTTAGATGCTGGATTCTGAGTAGTGCTGGCATATAATGCTTGAAAGAGCAAAACCAGTGAAGTCACCACAACATGAACTACCTTGAAATTACCTATAGCTGAACTGACCTGCCCTATAGGCCCCTAATCTTCCTGGAGGGGACAGTGATTATCTTATAGGAAGTACAAATGGATGGATATGGCAACAAGGAAAAATAATTTGATACAGCAGCAGCCACTGAACACAGTTTGAGGCCCCAGGGCTCTACATTTAAGAAAAAAGTTGTCTTCCTTGCTAGAATAGTGTGCAAACATTTCTTGATCATCTTCCTATATTAAAATTACTGAGGGAATTACCAGTGTGGTGAAAAGGGTGAGGGCTTCTATAGGTTAACACACAGGATCAGAGACTCAACCAAACTCAGCCACTGTAACAAAGGAGATTTTTTTTTTCCAGCCATGGCACATAGTTTAATTTACCGTTCTGCACAGAAAGGGGTGATCTGTGGTAGATTCCCAAATCCAGCACCCCAAGACACAAAAAAGCAGGCCTACTTATACAGTTACAATTGTAGGCTATTAGCATATCTCACTGAAGTCACTACTTGGCTAAGTTGTTATTGGCTCATCCTTTCTCTGCTTTAAATTAAAGCCATTGTGTCCCAAGAAATCATAGCACATGCTCAGTGAGTGGTGGTCTTTTTGTGGGCAGGGGGGAAGTCCTGAGCTGGGGTGTGCTTTTTACTACTATAAGGAGCAAAATTCATCACTGGGCAAGTTGTCACCACAGAACCAGTCAAAACAGGGTTTTTTCTATCTCATCATTACACGTCCCAGACAAGAAGGGTTTTATCTTTGTTTCCCTCCTTCATGAACTTAGGCAAACAATTTCCTGTCTTCCACATTTCCATGGTTATTGCTTCCATTGCTTAACCACTTTGTTCTTTATCTTGTTATTTGGAACTTCGCTCCTGTTATTCATCAAGGTGGGAACCAGGATGGTGGCACTTGTGTGGAACCCCTCTGGAGGCTGAGGGTCTGGCTGCATTGGTCCCTGAAGCTTAGTCCATATTTAGACAGTGTACAATTATGTCCATTCCTATTCAAGTCATGACAGTGATTGATTTACGGCCCTGTTAAAAAGCCAAGATAATTTGAACAAGCACAAGCTGTAATGAGCTGGAGTGGAAATGAACTGGAGCCACAGACCAACTGCAGATGGAAACAAACTGGAGCTGCAAATAAGCTGGAGAGAGAATGAAGCTGAGGAAGATTAAACCCAAGTGGAGCCTAAAATGTACTGGAAGCAAGAACAAACCAGATCCATCCATGAGCTGGACCTGAGACAGACTGGGGACAGAAACAAATAACTTGAAGCTGCAAGTGAGCTGGAGCCACAAACAAACTGGAAGTAGCCACAGACGTCCACGAGCTGGAGCCACAAACAAGCTGGAGCTGCCAAGTCCCCGCAGCATCTCCGGGCAGGCTGAGCCAGGAGCGGGGCCGTGCAGAGGACAGCGGTGGAAAGCGGAGCATTGCCGGGGACTCCCAGCCTCAGCGGCCGAGCTGCAGCTGTTCCCTAGGCCGGGACCCCCGCGCCACTGTCCAAACCGCCCGGGGAAAGCCCTGGGCACGCCCCACCGTCCCGGGCACCTGCGGCGGGGAGGGAGCGAAGCGCCGGCCTCGCAAGGTGCCGCCGTCCGGTGGGCGCGGAGCGGAACCGCAACCCCCGGTACCGGCACGGGTGTGGCCATCGCGGTGTTCCCGCACAAGGCGGGGGCTCTGGGGAGGACACGGCCGGGTCAAGGGCGGGGCACGAGCCGCGGAGAAGGCAGGGGTTGCCATGGCACCCGCCCGTAAGAAGGACCCCGAGCACGGAAGCGTGGGTCACGGCTATGCCCGGGGCAGGAACAGGGGCAGGGGTAGGAGTAGGAGTAGGAGTAGGAGTAGGGGCAGGAGTAGGGGCAGGGGCAGGGGCAGGGATGGGTAGGGAGGGGGCAGGGGGGACTCCCACAGCCGGAACAGCGCTGCTCAGGGGTACTGCCTCCAGCCATGTTTGCACCCTCCCTGCCCTGCCCACCGGCCGCTACCCACCAATCAGCTCTCGCTGCCCCGGGGCTTTGGCCAATCGTAACCCGCCATTTGCGCCTCCTCCGCCCTTCCCTCCGCCCACCGTCGCTCCTTTCCTGATCCACCGTCGCTCCCTTCCGCCGGAGCGGGGGCCGGGCCGGGGGGCGCGGTGCCGGCCATGGTCTGGGCTTTCGTGCTGCTGTCGCAGGGCGGGCCCGCCAGCCAGGCCCCGTGCCGCGTGCTGTACGCGCGCGCCTTCGGGACCCCTCCCGGAACCCCTCCCGGGGGTCCCCGGCAGCGCCTTCGCCGCAAGGAGCAGCTGCTTGTCGTGGCCAGGTAGCCGGGAGAGCCCCCCCCGCCTCGGGGCGGCGACATTGCCCTCCATGGGAACCCCCTTCCTGGGGATGCTGGGCTCGGTGGGACCCCTGTGACCAGCATCACCAGGAAGGAGGGATGTGCCTCCTTTTTTTTGTTGGGGTGGGGCTCCTGGGTTTTGCCGGAACCCCAGGGCTGAGATGCCCCTTAACTATGGGACATCCTTCCTTCCTGAGGGGAGCCTGCACTCAGTGGGACCTCCAGAACTGTGGCAGCCCCCTTTTGGGGGGCCGGGGCTCAGCGGGAACCCCAGGACCATGGCCCTCCTTATTCATCAGATACGCCTATTTTAGGGGTGCTGGGCTTGGCAGGACCCCTGGGACCCTGTCCCTCCAATAGAGGGGGTCACTCTGTCCCTGGATGATGCCGGGGTCCTTAATACAAGGGTTCCCCTATTCTCTTCCAGACAAGTGGCTTCCCAGTGCCAGCTGCTTCAGTCATCCCTGGGCCGCCCGTCCTCCCCACAACTCCCCCAGCTGCCTGATGAGCCGGTGTCACTCCAAGATGCTCTGGGGGGGCTTTTCCAGATGCCCCCTGGAGACCCCTTCCCTGACCGGGTGACCGTAGTCTGGTTATCAGTGATGGCCCTCGCCTTTGCTTTGGTTTGTGACCCCCAGGAAAATCTGTCCTTGGCCGAAATCACCCTGCGGCGCCTGGCTCCTCGCCTGCTTGTCTCCCTGCGGCTGCTCAGCCCTGGCGCTGACGTCCTGCTCCGTCCTGATGCCGCCGATGCCCTCCTGGATCGTCTCCTGCCCCATGGGCAGATGCTTTTTCTCAATGAACGTTTCCTCCAGGCAATGGACCGAGAGCTGGGCATCAAAGCATCCCGCTGAGCTACAGATGCCCACCACCCCTGGATATTTTTCAGTGGGGAGAGACAAGGGAAGGATCCGAGATGGTCGCCAAGCCCCAGCAGGATGGATGGGAAAAGTAGCTCAGGAATAAAGAGCAACATGCCAGCAAAGAGCGGGATTTTAATCCATTTATCCCCCAGCTTGGTTGTGGGAGAGCTAATAGTCATCCCCATAAATCCATCTGGAGCTGGAGCAGTTTCGTGTTCCTGCACGGTTTTCCCACGCTGTGTTCTTGCACCGCTCCCTGCGCACGTGACAGCAGATGGTGGCTCCTCATGGCCGTGAATGGACATTAAAAGAGGGACCCCGGGTTACCCCAGCTGGATGTTACGGGGCAGGTGGGGGGGTTCCTGGCCGGGGAGACGTGGCTGTAGGCAGTGCAGAACCCCTCTGCTGTGGGAGGGGGGCTCACCTCAGGACAGGAGGAACCCCAGGGGACACGGGGAAGCCGGGGGTGTGCAAACCATCCCTGGTGCATCAGGCTCACTGGGTGGGGGATTAAATAAACAGGCAGCAAGGCAGGATGTAGCCGTGGGCCTGACACAGCGGGGATGTTGTCCCCGGGTGATGCTCCTTGGGGCCAGGGGACCTCTATGACACCTTGGGAGGTGGCCGGAGCTGGCAGCCACCTGCACAGCTCCCCCAGCTGCCACCAGGCTGCAGTGGGGAGCAGTTTCTGAGTGCTGGGAGAGTCAGGGAACCAGGATGTGGTTCTGCCTACATGGCTCTGCCTGTAGGACCTCCTGACCTCCTATACAAGCACATGGTAGTGGGTTTTTGAAAAAGGAGTAGGATGGAAAGGAAGAGAGAAAAGAAGAGATGAATTAAAGGGGGAGAGAAAGAAAGGGAAGAAAGAAAGAGGGGAAGGAGGAAAGAAAGAAAGGAAGAAAATAAAAAGGAAAGGAGGAAGATAAAGGATCACCAGTCCTGGTTTCAGCATTGATCCAACTGATGGGATGTCCAGGGTCCTGAGGATGCAGCCCTGGCTTGGGGGTACCTTTTTATACATAGGTTTCCCTGCCCTGATGACAGGGAAACCAGATTGACTTTTGGATGACAGTATGTGCCTACTTCTGTGCTGATGCAGTCTTATTTTCTTAATTGTGTTTCAGTTTTAATTAAGGTTTGTAATGTTACTTCCTCATCATCAGATGACAACTGCTACATCTCACTTTTTGTAGGGTAATAAACACATTTAGTGTCTTCCAACTCCTTTATTGGATACAAAAAGTCAGACTTGTGAGATCATATTTTTTCAAATGGCACAGATTCTAAATCCTGCACTGGTGCCCCCTTTCCCACAGGTCCTGCTGACCTGAGCTGGGCCAGGCACCACTTTCCTTCTGCTTCTCCTTGATGTCCTGCAGCAGGAGAAGCACCTGCTCCACCACGCCAGGTCCCAGCACTGCATAACCTGGGTCACATCACCCAGGATGGAGAAGTTCAGTGTACTCAGCACTTTCCTAAAGGAAAGAGACCTCAAAGAAGCACCCAGGAGGGCAAGGAGGGTGGCACCTCTCTGCTTGCAGCACCCTTGTCCGGGTCCCAGCCAGTCTGGTCCCCAGCCAGGACAAGCAGGGGCAACACAGTGTTCACAGGGCAGGGGAGGAGGGAGGCAGAGCCCATCCCAAAACTGCCCCACACCCTGGCTGCTGGCCTTTTGAACCTGCTTCCCATCCTCCACGCTCCTTAGCCGAGTCGGCTTTCGTTAACCATTACCCCTTGGGCAGGGCAGGAGGGTGGAGGTGCCAAGGCTCCTGGGCACCAGAGGCCTTAGAATCTTGATAGGTACAGCTGCAGCAGGGATAGGGTGGCAGAGGTGTCTCTGTAGCTCTCTGTGGCACCTATTAAAGGGGCTGAGGCTGGGGGAGAAGCACAGGCAGGTGGGAGGAAAGGTAATGGTGGGCTCTGTTCCTGACCCCTCATGGCTTGGGCTTAGTGCATGGCTGGCACCACAAATGTCAGGGTGGCATCCTGCTGGGGAACAGGCCATGCCCCTGGCTCTGGCACTGGCAACACCTCTGCCACACGTGATCCAGGCTGAACTTTGCCTGGTGGGGCACTGCCCTGGGCACAGTTCTGCCACAGGAACCAGCCAGTTCTGAGGTTGTCAAGGCTGCCAGCAGGGAGGACAGCCAGCACTGTGAGGACCCACCATCAGCCATGGGGCAGGAAGGTATCAGGGAGGAGCTGGGCAACCTCCACGGTATCCCCCTCTACAAAGTATTCATCGAGGGCTGGCCACAGGTGAAGGATTTCCAAGCCCGCCCAGATGACCTGCTCATCTCTACCTACCCCAAATCAGGTGAGTGGCCCTGGGGAAGGGTGAAGTGAGGATGAGGTGACACCAGCCTTTGCAATGCTGTCCCTGTGCTGCAGGCACAACGTGGCTGAGCGAGATCATGGACATGATCTACCAAGACGGCGATGTGGAGAAATGCCGACGGGATGCCATCTACAACCGTGTACCCTTCCTGGAAGTGAAGGCCCCCGGGATACCGAGTGGTGAGTTTCCCCAGCCTGGCTGCCTGGATTGGGTGGGGAAAGAGCAGAGCTGGGGTGAGGGTGAGTGTGCTGGGGGCTCACACCTCTAAGCACCCTGTGCCACAGGTGTTGAGCAGCTGGAGAACACCCCATCCCCACGGCTGGTAAAGACCCATCTCCCAGTCCAGCTCCTCCCACAGTCCTTCTGGGACAAGGACTGCAAGGTAATGCTGCAGGTGCCCTCTGCCTCTCTCCCAATCTGGGTTGGCAGGGAAGAGGCACTACTCTATCTCCCAACCACATCCTTATTTGTCTCCAGATCATCTACATGGCCCGCAACCCCAAGGATGTTGTCATCTCCTACTACTACTTCTACCAGATGGCCAAAGTACACCCTGACCCTGGCACACTGGCTGAGTTCCTGGAGACCTTTCTGGCTGGCAAAGGTGGGGGCTGAGCCACAGGATGCCCACCCCGAAATGCTGGTGGGAAGGACATCCCCTGCTGCCCTGCTTCTCAGCTAATCCCTTGACCATATTCCACAGCGGCCTACGGGTCCTGGTATGACCATGTGCGGGGCTGGTGGGAGAAGAGGAAGGAGAAGAAGATCCTGTACCTCTTCTATGAGGACATGAAGAAGGTGAGGGTGGGATGAGGGGCATGGTGCCCTACTTGCCCCCCCACAGCCTTTTTTGTCAGCCACCTCATGTCAGCTGCCCTGCAGGACCCACGGCAGGAAGTGAAGAAGATCCTGCAGTTCCTGGGCAAGGAGGTGGTGGAGGGAACAGTGGAGAGGATCCTTCAGAACACCTCCTTCCAGGCGATGAAGAAGAACCCTGCTGCCAACTATGAGACCATGCCCACTGCCTTGATGGACCACAACCTCTCCCCCTTCCTCCGTAAAGGTGAGATTTGGACGGTGGTGGAGAGCTTGGGAGGAATGTCCCTGCATTGTATTTCAGCCCCCATCCATGGCTGCAAATATTTTGTGTGTCTCAAGATTTGCCCCACTTGCTTTCTTGCCCCCAGGGATCTGTGGAGACTGGAAGAACCACTTCACTGTGGCCCAGAATGAGCGCTTCGACCGGCACTACCAGGAGCACATGGCGGGCACCGACCTCCACTTCCAGATGGAGATGTGAGGGGCTCATCCCCCTTTCCAGGAGGACTCTGCTTCTCCTCTCTCACCCAGTGGGGAGGGTGGGTCCAGACGGAGCATCCTTGCACTGATTTACTTTTGTCCTTGCAATAAATTGTGATAAAGGGAGAGTGAGTCATTGCCTTCAGAAAAAGGCACCGGGGAGGCTGAACCCCCCCCAGATTCCAGGCAGTGTCTGGGAGCACCTCCATGGTCAGCAGTGGGCACACACAGTGCATTTTGAGCTGGTGATGGTCAGGCATCACTGGGAATGTGCATCCTCCCAAAACCCCCCACTGGGTGGGTCACCTTGGGTGCCCCAGACCCAGCCTACTGGGGTACCTGGAGGGAGCAAAGATCGGTGAAGAGTGGGAAAAACCCAAAGCACCAGCAAACCTGCTGCTGCCACAGCTTTTGTGTGCACAGGGCTTTCATGGCTCCAGGTTGTGGCAGGTTTCTTGACAGAGTGGGTGGTGGTGAGGCTCTCCCCAGGCTCCCTGACCCAGCTGGAGCTTGGCAGCCCGCAGTCTATGGAACAAAAGTGAAGGGAAACACCTCCCTGCTGGCATATGGCCGGGCTCAGCAACATCACCATCCTTGCTGGATAAGGAAACCACCCTGCAACCTCCAACCTGGTTGCACTGAGCCCTTGCTCTGGGATGGCCAGAGCAAACCACTCCCTGTCCCACTGGGGCAAGGGTGTGCTTTGGAGTCCCAAGTCCCCCACTTACACCCCATTTCTGACCTGTTCCAGAGTTTCTAAGATTGCAGTTTTTTGGCAATACAGCTTCATGGGGTTGTTTTATCCCTAAAGAGAAGCAACTCGGATCTGACTCCTATAGGGCAGGGGACTTGACTCGCAGGAATGAATCCTTTCCAGACATTTATTTCAATGCTAATGGAGATCTCTATTCTTCCTCATCTCCTGACTTTGCCTGCAGTGTTTGCACATGGAGCCAATTTTGCTGACATATGGGCAAATGGACGGGCAGGGATGCATGTCCCTGCCTGCAAAACACCTGAATGCCTGGCGTGACACGTCCCACCTCACCTGGAACTTGGACCTGGGTCCAAATCAGGGACTTCTATCAAGGCTGAAAACAAGTGAGCTGCTGTCTCTGCCCAGCTGTCAACTTTCCTGCCCTCACCACTCCTTCCCGGCTCGGAGGTTGCCTGTGGGAAGCAGGTAAGGAGCAGCATTTCACCACCACCGGCACTTTAAACACCTTTCCCAGAAACACTTGTGCTTTGCAATCCTGCAAACTTTGGACCCGTATTTGAGCAGAGTAGGGGTATTACCAAAGCCTGATCCCCACAGCCCACTAGCAAGCCCCACGTCTGTGCGAGGAATTGGGGACGTCCACTCAGGTGACTCCTGGATGGATCAGGACAGGGTGACGTTAAATCCCCCGGGAGGTGGGTTGGGATTTCCTCCCTTTGTTTGCCTCTGCGGGTGGACAGGGCAGCTGTGATTTCCACTCCCACCGCCTGTGTGCGTACCGGGGGTTGCTGAGCACGGCACAGCTCATCACAGGCATCTGGGGACAGTCCCCACCCCCGCCTCCCTTTTCCTCTGCCCTCCTCCTGCCCCAGCGGTGTCCCCCGCCTCCCTGAGCCTCCATCTTCGACGGAGGGAAGGGAAAATAGAAAATCCCGCCCCGTAAGCGGCAGGCAAAGCTTTTCCTTCTCCCTGCCGGAGCAGCCGGAGAAGAGGTAATGGGGGGACTCTGGTCGTGGTCAGGAGGCTTGGCCCTTTTTGGGGTGCCCTGGCCTCACAAGCAGAGGGCCTGCGTGGTGGTGGTGGGGGGGGGGGGGTGAGGTGCCGGGGCTCAGAGGGGCTCAGTGTCCTTGAAAACCCTTGGAAGGCAGAAGCAAGTGACCAAGCCTCTCTCCGAAAGTCTCAGCCGTGGGTGTTTTGCAGCTGCCGTATCCAGCGTTTCCATCCCGGTTGGTGGGTGGAAAGGTTTCCTAAAGAGAGAGTTCTGGGAGCCCTGCTCCTCGTTCCTGTCTCCTTCAAACCCTCACTCAGCCCCCTGCAAAGAAGGCTTCCCCAAGCTGCCCTACAGCTGAGAGGTGGGGAGGAAAAGGCAGAGGGAAAGCAGCCTGAAACACCGGCCAGGAAAGCCCCTGTGAGCTTTTACACCCAAGTAAAAGTACCAGCTTGGTACAGGTAGCTGCCCCACTGCCTGTGCTGACCTGAGCCCCCCAGAGCCAGCCATGCCCCTCCACACTCCCTGCACTGCCACCTGGCCCCCAAAATCCCCGCAGAAGACAGATGCCACCTCCCATGACACCAACAAGCAGGGGATAGATTCCTTCCTGTGGGCAGGATGGCTGGGTTCAGCAGGCATTTTGGGGACTCCAGGGAAAGAGGAGTCCCCGTGATGCTCCTTGCTGCCGGCCAGCCCTGCCATGTGTCCCTGTTCCCAGCAGGATGGCCAATCCGGATCCCTATCTGCGTCAGCCCTGGCTCACAGTGCACGGCATTCCCATGGTCAATGCCTTTGCCCTTAACTGGGAACGGATTGACAGCTTCCAGAGTCGCCCTGATGACATTGTGGTGGTCACCTTCCCCAAGTCTGGTGAGCGACCCCAGGCAACAGAGAGGGGCCACGCTTGGGAAAGGGAGGTACCAACCTGCAGATGCTGGGGCTGGGACTGGAGGGGATGCTAAAAGGCAATGCTGGAAGATGGTGGCCCTCGGGTGCGGGAGATGGGGCTCCAGTGGGAGTGGCATCAACCAGACACCCAGCCTCTCCTCGCCAGGCACCACTTGGGTCAGCGAGATTGTGGACATGGTCCTGAAAGGCGGTGACCCTGAAAAATGCAAGCAGGATGACATTGTCAACCGGGTGCCTATGATGGAGTTTGCTGCCCCTGGGAAGATGCCAGCAGGTAATGGGGTGGCAGTGAGTGCTGGATAGGGAATAGGCTTGGTTTTGTATGGGAAGGTACACCACCAGCAGTGAGATTGCTCCTGGGGGAAATCCTTGCAGGCACAGACCAGCTGGAGGTCATGGCATCCCCTCGCATCATCAAGACCCACATCCCAGCTGACATCCTGCCCAAAACCTTCTGGGAAAACCACTGCAAGGTAACAGGATGGAGTTACCACACCTAGATCCAGCAGAGATAAGGGGGGTAGTACCTGCCCTGTTGGGACCTTGCAAGTCCCCACATGCCACCAAGCTTTCTGCAGATGATCTATGTGGGGCGCAATGCCAAGGATGTGGCCGTTTCCTACTACCACTTTGACTTGATGAACAAGTTCCACCCTCACCCTGGGACATGGGCCCAGTACCTGGAGGAGTTCATGGCCGGCAGAGGTGAGACAGAACACCCCTGGAGGCATGTGGGGACCCTGTGGGGTGCTGTCACCCACTGCCATCCCCTGGCTGTTCTCCCCATGCAGTGGCATATGGCTCCTGGTACAACCACGTCAAGGGCTATTGGGAGCGGAGGAAGGATCACCCCATTCTCTACCTCTTCTACGAGGACTTAAAGGAGGTGATGGACAGGGGTGGATGGTGGTGTGGCATCTGGGGGGGTGGCAGGAGGGGTGAACATCGTCCCGTGTGTCACAGGACCTCCGCCGGGAGATTGCCAAGGTGGCCCAGTTCCTGGGGCAGGAGCTGTCGGAGACAGCACTGGACACCATCACCCGACACACTTCCTTTGAGGCCATGCGGGACAACCCCACCACCAACTACAGCAAGGTGCCCTCCAACCTCATGGACCACAGCGTGTCCCCCTTCATGCGCAAAGGTGAGCAGCTCTGGGGGGCTGCAGGTGCCCCGTCCCCTCGGCCCCTGCTGAGCCCCACCTTGCCTGGCTGCAGGCACCACTGGAGACTGGAAGAACCACTTCACCGTGGCCCAGAACGAGCGCTTTGACCAGGACTATGCACAGAAGATGTCGGGCACCGACCTGCGCTTCCGCACTCAGATCTGAGGAGACGCTGCCAGACACCCCCAAATCTGCCCCATGCCGGTGGCACTGCTCCCACAGCAGGGGCTGCTTCCCCTCCTCTGGGACTGCTGGAGAGAAATAAAATGTGGTCCCTGGCCCCCGCATGGGGTGTTCACTAGTGTGTGCCTGTGCAGATCCCAACCCTACCATCCCCCCTGGGGCTGCCAAGCCTCTTCTTGTGCTGAGGACAAGCAGGTGTCACCCCTCAGCTACTGTGGTGGGGGCATTGCCACCAGAAGCTTGTGGGATTGCAGAGAGTTGTGGCAAAAATGCGTGTGAGGAAGCTGCCAGCTGGATACAGGCAGTGAGAGGTGGCCTCCCTGTCCTCATGTGGAGAGGCACAGTCTGGGATCTGGGGGTGGGAGGCAAGATCCGTGAGGTTGGAGATGTCCAGTGTGGCCCTGCCTGCAGGTCAGTGGCTGCTGGCTTCTCACTGTGCTTGCTCCTCCCTCCCGGCAGCCGCAGGGCAGGAAAACATTGCTGCCCTTGCCGCCCTGCCTTTTTCCTTCTCCTCTCTGTGAAAGCTGCTGCGGGGCCCCACGTCTCCCTGTCGTCTACCGTCACCCTCGTGGTGTCACCGTCCCAGCGTCAGTCTCCCGGCGCAGAGCGGCAGCGAGTTAGGTGAGAGGGGTGTCCTGGGGTGCCCTGCGGGTGCTCTGCCCATGCTCAGCCACATCGAGCTGTGTGCTGTGGGGTCCAGGTTGGTGGGTTTTTGGGGTACTTTTGGGTGTAATCAGCCACCTTAAACTTCCCCTTGGTGAGGTCTGCTGCAATAACCCCTGGGACCCAGTTCCCTGCTTCTCTGTGGTGCTGAGGCAATGGGAGAGGTGTTTGGTCTGGGTGATGCTGGCCCCCCATGGGTACCCCCTGCCCTTGCTGGGGTGCTGGTGTGCTCCTTTTCCTGCAGATGGGACCCCTGTCCCCCTAGATGGGCCCCCTGTCCCAAGCAGTGAGTGCAGCGATGGCTGCAGTGACCTCTGGTCTGTATGCCGGTGCTACCGCTGCCGCTCCCAGGGCTGGCACCCTGCCAGTTGCCTGGGCTGCCCTGGCTGGTGGCTGCCCAGTGAGGGTGAGGGGGGGCCTCCCGCCTCACCAGTCAGCCTCCCCGCATGTCCCTGTCCCCAGCCGGATGGCCGATCCAGGCCCCTACCTGCGTCAGCCCTGGCCCACGGTGCACGGCATTCCAATGGTCAACGCCTTCACCTACAACTGGGAACGTGTCGACACCTTCCAGAGTCGCCCTGAGGACATTGTGGTGGTCACCTTCCCCAAATCTGGTGAGCATTCCCAAGTCCAGCAGATGTTGTGTTACCGTGTGGGCGAGTGTGTTGTATGTCTGAGGCCCACTGGTGAGGGAAATGCAGCACATTTGGGGGCTGTCGGGACAGAGCTGTGCAGGGATCCCCTTTGCCCCCTCAGCGTCTGGTTAAAGTCTGAGGGGTTATCAGTGATCAGACACCCAGTGCCACCCTGGATGCCCCCTGATGGGTTCCTTTCCCCAGGCACCACCTGGGTCAGCGAGATTGTGGACATGATCCTGCAAGGTGGAGACCCTGAGAAGTGCAAGCGGGACATTATCAGCAAGAGGGTGCCCATGCTGGAGTTCTCTGCCCCTGGGAAGATACCAGCAGGTAGTGGGGTGTGGGGGCTTGACCATGGGCACCCCAACAGGGGCTGAGTCCTGGGGGTCTCTGCCAAGAGCCCAGTGAGGAAGTGCTTTGGGATTCCCCAGGGACAGACCTGCTGGCCACCATGCCCTCACCCCGTGTGGTGAAGACCCACCTGCCAGCAGATGTCTTGCCAAAATCCTTCTGGGAAAACCGCTGCAAGGTAAATCCCAGCCCTGGTCTCTGCCCTGAGGGGCATTTAAGTCCCCCTCTTCCCATGAGACAGGACACCCCACTGCTCCCTTCAGCACACTAAGTGGGCATGGGAGTTCTGGGAGCTAGAGCATCCTCCCTGTTGGGGGTCCTGGGGCTGCTCTCACACCCTATGACCCATCTGCAGATGATCTATGTGGGGCGCAATGCCAAGGATGTGGCCATTTCCTACTACCATTTCGACCTTATGAACAAGTTACAGCCACACCCTGGGACATGGGCCCAGTACCTGGAGGAGTTCATGGCCGGCAGAGGTGAGACAGGACACCCCTGGAGGCATTGTGGGGACCCTGTGGGGTGCTGTCACCCACTGCCATCCCCTGGCTGTTCTCCCCATGCAGTGGCATATGGCTCCTGGTACAACCACGTCAAGGGCTATTGGGAGCGGAGGAAGGATCACCCCATTCTCTACCTCTTCTATGAGGACTTAAAGGAGGTGAGGGACTGGGGCGGATGGTGGTGTGGCATCTGGGGGGGTGGCAGGAGGGGTGAACATCGTCCCGTGTGTCACAGGACCTCCGCCGGGAGATTGCCAAGGTGGCCCAGTTCCTGGGGCAGGAGCTGTCGGAGACAGCACTGGACACCATCACCCGACACACTTCCTTTGAGGCCATGCGGGACAACCCCACCACCAACTACAGCAAGGTGCCCTCTGACCTCATGGACCACAGCGTGTCCCCCTTCATGCGCAAAGGTGAGCAGCTCTGGGGGGCTGCAGGTGCCCCGTCCCCTCGGCCCCTGCTGAGCCCCACCTTGCCTGGCTGCAGGCACCACTGGAGACTGGAAGAACCACTTCACCGTGGCCCAGAACGAGCGCTTTGACCAGGACTATGCACAGAAGATGTCGGGCACTGACCTGCGCTTCCGCACTCAGATCTGAGGAGGCGCTGCCAGACGCCCCCAAATCTGCCCCATGCCGGTGGCACTGCTCCCACAGCAGGGGCTGCTTCCCCTCCTCTGGGACTGCTGGAGAGAAATAAAATGTGGTCCCTGGCCCCTACATGGGGTGTTCACTAGTGTGTGCCTGTGCAAATCCCAACTCTGCCATCCCCCTGGGGTTGCCAAGCCTCTTCTTGTGTTGGGGACAAGCAGGTGTCACCCCTCAGCTACTGTGGGGGGGGCATTGCCACCAGCAGCTCGTGAGATTGCAGAGAGTTGTGGCAAAAATGCGTGTGAGGAAGCTGCCAGCTGGATACAGGCAGTGAGAGGTGGCCTCCCTGTCCTCATGTGGAGAGGCACAGTCTGGGACCTGGGGGTGGGAAGATGTCCAGTGTGGCCTTGCCTGCAGGTCAGTGGCTGCTGGCTTCTCACTGTGCTTGCTCCTCCCTCCCGGCAGCCACAGCGCTGGCAAACATTGCTGCCCTTGCTACCCTGCCTCTCCCTGTTAAAACCACTACCGTCACCCTCGTGGTGTCACCGTCCCAGCGTCAGTCTCCCGGCACAGAGCGGCAGCGAGTTAGGTGAGAGGGGTATCCTTGGGTGCCGTGCAGGTGCTCATGCTCAGCCATGCAGAGCTGTGTGCTGTGGGGTCCAGGTTGGTGGGTTTGGGGTACTTTTGGGTGTAACCAGCCACCTTAAACCTTCCCCTATAGTGCAGTATGCTGCAATAATCCCTGGGACCCAGTTCCCTGCTTCTCTGTGGTGCTGAGGCAATGGGAGAGGTGTTTGGTCTGGGTGATGCTGGCACCCCATGGGTATCCTCTGCCCTTCCAGGAGCACTGAGTGTGCTCCTGTCCCCCCAAATGGGATCCCTGTCCCCAATAGTGGGTGCAGTGACCTCTGATCTTTGCAGAGGTTTTCTCACTGCTGCTCTCTGGGCAGGCTCTGTGCCATGTGCCCGGGGCTGCCCCGGCCATGATAGACTGCATGTTCTTTGCCCAGCTCTTTCGTGCCCCATCAGCAAACTAACCGACTACTATAAATCATTATAGTGACAAGCTGACTTGTCATGGGAAAGGCTTGCCATGGGAGCATGAACAGCAAACATGCATGAAAAGGTAGAGGAGAGAGAGCAACTCCTCCTCTGTGGGCTGATGAGCTATTAGATGAGTCCCATCATGTCTATACCCTCAGGGTTTGCAAACTTGCCCATCACCATAGAATAGAGCTTTCCCTCAGGGGTCAGATACATGCTGGCAAGACAATGTACCATATCTGCAGGTAGCTTCGGCAAGTCTCTGCTGCTGCTCTTCACTGTAGGGCTGATAAGGACAGCTGCAGCACCTATTCTCCACCACCAATGCACAATTTCTAGCAGGGACATAAAGCTTGGCACAAACCTTTTCTGATTTCTTTATTGTTCTGGCTTGCAGAGTGGAAATGGCTCCACTGTGAGCCACCCTAGTGCCTGTATGTTTACATGCCAAGGTGTCCCTGCAGCATTGGAGCAGCAAAGACAGTTCATAAAATCTTAAACTGAATCAAAAAATCCAAGTGAAATACTGTAAGCCTAGCCCCTGGTATTTTCATCCTGCAGCTGCAAAGTAGAGCTATAAAGATACCATTTATCTGAGAAAGATGGTCATGGTGAGGCTATTTCAGCTCATTAACTTCATCTGGAGTTTCCCTGTACCCTGGGGATTACATGGAAACGGGTGTTTTACTGAGCACGTACACACGTGGCTCTGCAGAATTGCTCAACCCACTCACTTCTGCCTGTAGTTAGGGATGAGCCAGCTTTGAAATTTTCCCAATGGAGCCTCCTCCCCTTCCTCCCGCCTCCTCCCCTCCACCAAAAAAATGATAGTCAAGACAAAATTTTAACTCTGCTTTCAGACCAGAAGCTGCTTTATTGCATTAAGTGAAAGGGAAACCAGAGAGTCATTTGGTGCTTCTTCAGGCCAAAAGCTTCCCTTACCACCCTGGCCCTGACTTTTTGAGGTGCTGGCTGGCTGGCATCAAGATTTTCTAGAAATAAAGTCGCCACGCACACCATAAACCCCCATCCAGCCAGTACAATGGTGAAGAGAACTGTAAGAAACCACTAGTTTGCAGTTGCCTAACTTTTGCTTAAGGGCCTTAGCCTTGAAAGGCCTGTTGTTATTTAACAAGGTTGGGGGTTGCATCACTATCTGCAGCACTTCTACTTAGTAATGTTAGATGTGTGAAATACAGGCACTTAACCTGTATTTCTTCTGCCCCACTTCTCTCTTCATTTGCTGGATTTTGTCCTTTAATCCTCTCAGAATGCTTATCTTCCCTGCTCTGAGTAATCTAAGTATCATCTTTAAAAGCTGGCCGTGGAAACAAGACAAATGTAACCCTCTGGTTCCCTAGCAATAGCTCTCATTTGCTATGGAGGGATTCCTTACCAAGGGATTGGAAACAAAAACCTAGTTCCCATCCAAGAACTGATCCCAGCACCAAACCTGACAGAGCACAAGAAATGTTTGGACAATACCTTGGGGTTGCCATTGTGGGTCTCAGATATTCTATGATTCTATGATCTGCTCTAGCCCACATAAATATGGCCTTTCCATAGCTGCTGGAAAAGCTGTAAATTTCTTACAGGACTTTACAAAATAAGCTAAATTACCCTAAAAAAATATATATTTTCCTGGATACAAAGGTCTGTGGAGAGACTGTAGTGAAATTCCTGGCTGTAAGTCCAACCTACTGTTGAAACATGGTGGCAAAATTGCCCTGGATTTTGAGGGTTTAGAAAAAGCCTGGTTGAATATTATGGATAATATTTAAAGACCTTGAAGATGCACCTTTAGATTCCTATATCTTCAGGTTATTAAAAACTTGAATAGATCTCCAGAATCAAGGGCCACACAGCCAGTACAGATAACATACCAATTTTTGAAAACCTCTGCAAACAAACTATAAGATTCTCTCCTTGTTCCTGTCGACAGTTTATAAACAAATCTATTACCTAACAAACAATTTTCTTTAGCCACCTGGGATCCTATGGGGAGTAAAAAAATCTTTTTAGCAGTCAGGCGTCATATTTCTGAGCTATAGTATGCCCAGTCCTCTTGAGAATCTGGCTCTGTAATAACAATATAATACACGCTAGCATGGGGAAGACCATCTCAACTATTACATTCCCAGATCATAACAAAGCAATAATTAAACACAGAATACATGCTTTGTTGCCATCATCCCGTATTTTATTACTTCCTCCTTGTGAAAAATTCAGTTCAGAGGGTAACTTACTTAAGCTCCTTCTGCCTGATAACCAATCCCACTGGAGCAGCCCAGGGACAGAGGAGGGGAGTGGCAAGGAACAGAGGCAAACTGGTGTAGCAAATTGCACCTTGCAACTCAGAGCACGATGTTTATGTACCTTGGAAGACTGCGCTAGGTAAGAGTTTTTTGCTGCATGGCATTCGTTCCCCAAATTGTGTTGGTTGGAGCGTATCATTATCTGTGTGGGTTTTAGTTGTAATTCTGGCTCCTGGTGGTTAAGAGCTCCTTCCAGGATGTAGCGCTTACATTCAAAGGACAACTTTCTAATTAAGAGCCATCCCAGAAGATGTAGGTTTTGCTCTGAGAAGCACCTTGACAGGTCAGACCCATGTTTGGACACCTGAACTGAGCCAACAACACAGCCAGGTTGGTGGTGATGGGCCCCAGTCACTCCCTGCGTTAAGAGTTGTCTGGGTGCAACTGGAAGCCACCCATCACCTATCAGAATAATTTGCATGTTACTATTGGCATTATCATCAACCAAATGAATGATTTATTGCCTTCTCTCAGTGTGGGAAATATTAGCACTTCCAACATCTCACTGTGAAAAAGGATGCCACTTCCAAGCTAACTCTGTGGTGTCTCCTTCCTTGTCCTGCCTCTGGCATTGCTAGTTTATGGAAACAACACAAGGGATTTGTTTGAGCCTCAGAGCTGGCATTCAGGGGACTGGCTCCTTTCACAGCAGTGAGGATTGCTGCCACCCTGCTAATCAGGGAAAGGATCTCCCTTAAGGGGAAACTAACTGGGTAGAACGCATAAAGGGAAAAGTGAATCACCAAATATCTTTTTCTGTCTTTCCAGATCCGAGACCAAACGTGGGTTATAAAGACCCCACCTGTGCGACAGCAAACTCTTGCTTTTGCTAAGAGTGCTAGTAAGGAATCATCAAACGCAACACAGAGTTGCAGTGTTCCTAACTGGAAAGGAAAATTCCCAGGCTATCTAGCCCTTAACTCTGCCATGGCCACAAAAACCACCGGCTCAAAGAAATACCTCCAGCTGCTCCTTCTTCAGGTTGCCCTTCTAGGCCCTGTTTTCTGTGGGAAGGTGTTGGTCTGGCCGACGGAAGGCAGCCACTGGCTGAACATGAATGTAATTATACAGGAGCTCATCCACCGTGGGCACAGCATTACCATCCTGGTATCCAACGCTACCCTCTTCATTGAACCCAAGGCTAAGGCTGGGGAGACGTTTGAGTTCTATTATGTGCCCTATGAGAAAGATGTCCCTCAGAGCCTGATTAATGAAATAGTGGCACTGTGGCTCAATAACAGGCCGACCATCTTCACCTTCTGGCAATTCTACAGGGAGCTGGGAAGATTGTCCGTAGGCTGGCAGAAGATGAACAAGCTGATGTGCGACTCAGCACTAAATGACCGAGAGCTGATGGCTCGCCTGCAGGGGGCTGGCTATGACATGCTGCTGTCAGACCCGGTGACCCCCTGTGGGGAACTCATTGCTCTCAAGCTGGACATCCCCTTTGTCTACTCCCTACGCTTCTCTCCAGCCTTCACTCTAGAGAGGCACTGTGGCAAGGTCCCAACCCCACCGTCCTACACGCCTGCAGCCCTGTCTGAGCTCACTGATCACATGACCTTTTTTGAGAGAATAAAAAACTTTGTGTCTTACCATCTGCAAGACTATGTTTTCCGGACCTACTGGGGACACTGGGATATCTACTACAGCAAGATCTTAGGTAAGTCTTCTGATACTTCACTTCTCATTATATGGCCTCCACCCTTATAATCGGCAGAGCTAGGAACCTGGCAGGGTTACAAAGTCAAGGGAGAGGTCTGCCATTATGCCCCTAAAAAAGGGAAGGACCACCAGGGTCCATCAGTTGCACCCACTCCCCTATCAGGGTGCTGTGCTGCTATGCCATTGCATTGAGGCAGGATCAGGATCTTCCCGATAGATGGACTTGACTTTTGTAATAATTAATTTTAATGTGGAGGTTCATACAACTTTCACACCATGTAGGGCCCTCAGCAAGGGAGCCTCAGCTTACACATTTCCCCCTCCAGTGACTGCTTGCACAGAAGGCAGCCAGGAACAGAGCTGTTTTCCTAGTCCATAGTACCATATCAAGGAGGGGGGAGCGGCTGAATTGCAAGCCAGCCTTGCCACTCTCTGTAGCAATACTGAATGCATTGTGGCTTTGTAATAGAGACTTCACTTATGTCACTGGTCATAGAAAACCGATCCTCTCTGAACAAAACAAGTTTTATTTAAAACATACCCTCCACCCACAAGCAAACAGTGAAAACAACAAGTCTTTTTCTCTGCAGGCTTTTTTCTGGGACTGTTTTGAGTGAATATGTAGAAAAATATGCTTGTTATTAATCACGTGATCAACAAGCTGTTTCTACTACCCTTGTACTGGGCTCTTGAGAAAGACCACTTGCAAATCTCTCAGTGTTCAAAAAACCGCCTCCATGTACCTGCATGCTGCAGGACTCCAGAAGTACACTAAACTGTTGTCATGTGCACAGTAGATGAGGTATCTCAGCTTAGCTCCTCACAGTCCAGCTGTTTCCATCACCCTCATTTTCATCTCAGAAAGGATGCTCTAGGAAGCAAGGAAACCATAGCAAAAGCCTTGCACAACAACATTAGGAAAACATTGTGTAACAGAGCTGGTTGAAACGCCTGTAAATAACGATTTTTAGCACAGTGAAGAGGACTTACATTATTTCTTAATTGTACATCAGAAGAGACCATAAATAAAACTGTTTAACAGGTTTTCTTTCTGCCACAGTTAGTGGCAGGCAGGGAGCCCACAGAATCACCGACCAGCTCTGGCCTCCCACAGTGTATGCTCTGGAAGAGGCAAGTTCACTTGAGGACAGTTGTACTGGAGTCATTTGCTGTGTAGTTTCATTCACTTCGAGATGCAACTCTTGAGCTGCAGCCTGGGATCACCACTTTCAGTGGGCTGTAAAGGGACACTCAGTGGCTTTATAAAAGCAGAAGTGTGCCCATGCAGTCAGTGAACATCTTTGCTGTGTATCCAGCTGTGCTTCAAAGAGCCGGAAGAATGAAAAATTCACCTCTTCTACCAAACAAATAACACAGAGACTCTAGTTTACAGGCAGGAGGGCTGGGATTACCAAAAGGATAAATCCTCGCTGGACTGAACCTCCCCAGGGCTGATGACTCTCTCTGCTGTTCCGGGGGGAGGCAGATCTTCCAGCTTTAGCGAAGTGCTTACCACCAGAGGGTGCTAGATGGTGCCAGTCACTTATTTCTCACCCCTCCCCCCAGGAAAACATGCTATTATCCAGCACAGGATTTCATGCCACCTACCCTGGCTCCCTGCCCTTGGGACCAAGGCAGTGTGACCCATGCCCAGCCCAGCTGGGGAGCACTGCTGCTCCCAGAGAAGGAAGGCCACGGGTGCATTGCCACACAGTGCAGGCCATGGCAGGGAAGGAGGTGGCAGTGCTGTGGCTGCTGGCCGTGCTGGGCTGGGGCTCCGGGGGGAAGGTGTTGGTCTGGCCGGCTGACAGCAGCCACTGGCTGAACATGGAGTTCATGCTCCGGGAGCTTGTGCTCCGGGGCCATGAGGTGACTGTGCTGATGCCTTCATGCTTCCTCATCTTCAACCGCACACAGCCCTCACCCTTCCAGTTTGAGGTGATTGAGGTGCCGATCACCCAAAAGGAGATGGCCGCCATAATGGATGAAATATTCGATTTCTTGTTCTACGAGGAGAGAGTGCTACCATTCTGGAAAAGTGCTTACAAGGTAGCTCAACAAATTACGAAGCTGGAGAATGTAAGCAGAACCATTTGTGACGAGATCCTGAAGAATGAGGCGCTGCTAGAGAGACTGAAGGCTGCTGCCTTTGATGTGCTTTTGGCAGACCCACTGACACCCAGTGGGGAGCTGTTTGCTGAGAAGCTGGGTATCCCCTTCGTGTATACCATCCGGTTCTCCCTAGGAAACACGCTGGAACGGCTCTGTGGGAAACTCCCAGCACCTCCTTCCTACGTACCAGCCGCCCTAAGCAGCCTAACCGATAGGATGACCTTCTCAGAAAGGCTAAAAAACATCTTCACGTACACTTTTCAGGATATCCTATATCATTACCTTTTCTGGGGAGGCTGGGATCAATACTACAGTGATGTTTTAGGTAAGGCTGCTCTCTCTTCCAAAAATTTGATCTGCTGTAAACACAAGAGTAAATACCCAGAGCTGAGAGGTTAAGGCACAGATTTGGAGCAAGACAGCTCAGAACCTACTCTCCTTCCTTCAAATTCCTGTGTCAAGTCAAACAATCCAGGCAAGTACAAACGTTGCCCATTAATCCTGACCTGCTACACTAGTTCAGCTAAGTCCGTACAGGCACTTTTAGGATAGGTAAAGCAGTGGTAAAGCCACTTGAAACACAGCTCGTCAGTCTTATTCATAGATGAATCATGGCAAATACTAAGAACAGCAAAATAATGCTGTATACCCACCAAACACTAGTACTAGATTTGGAAAGCTATGCAAGAATACTACCTGTTTTCCCCTAGCACCCTTTTTGCTTTCCAGCTCATCTCTAAATGAGAGATAACGGTTCTCCTCTGGTCCTTTAAAGGCCCCTGATTTCAGATGAACTGCAATTTGCAGTGATAAAATGATCTTTGCAGAAACACAGTTCTTTGCTTTTCTGAAAGTATCTAAAAAAATACCAGAGGGTAGTTGTATTTATTTATTAGGTGTTCTATTTTTTTTTTAATAATAGTTGCATAATTATTTTCCCATTTTTGCTCTAAGTGATTATAGTAACACTTAAAAGGAAACAGGCCAAACATATGTGCATTGCTGGTGGGCAGATAAAATGGATATAATTTCAGTATGAGACTTCGAAGTGTTTTTATTTTTATTTCACTAATATGGTCAATTCTGCTAAGAGCTAAGCTGTTAAGATATCCTGCTATTAGAGTACCTAGCTGTGTGTTTGTGTTTGACAGGATAAGGAAATCTTGTGCTGGCAGAAGCATGGTTTGGTGATCTGCTGTGTAAGTCTCAGAGCTGTTTGGATCTTGTGGTGTTTTTTTTTATTGTTAAACGTGGGGTTTAACATTTAAGGCTTCATGTGCAATACCTGTTTTGTTAGTTTGCATGGGCTACATGATGGATTTGTGCTGAAAACAGTGTTGATAACACTGGGATTATTTAATGCTGTGGCTCTGCAGGAGACTCCAGAATGGGATTTGTTTTTTGCCCAGCAAAGCACTCCTATGAGTGCTGTTTTGTGTTAGGACATGCCCTCTTGCCACGCTTACCGATCTTGTCACCAAATGTATGCCACTTTCATTGGTTGGCTCCTGAGTGTTTGCATAGTGAAGCAGTAAACTGCTTCCAGTTCAGTCAGTCCGGAGTTGTACACGGAATGCCGAGATGATGAGGCCAAAGTTGCCCTGGCTTCTCTTGGCCTGTGCATGCTGCTGGAGCACTGGATTTTGTGGGAAGGTGGTGGTGTGGCCCACTGATGCAAGTCACTGGATCAATCTGAAAGTGCTGCTGCAAGAGCTTGTTCTCCGGGGTCATGAAGTGACTGTGCTCGTGCCCTCAAGCAATCTGCTCATCAACTACCAAGACACCTCCTCACCCTTCACCTTTGAGGTCCTGCAAGTCCCCTTTAGCCAGAAGACCCTGGATACTGCCATGGAGGACTTCCTCAATTTCTGGTTGAACGAAGTCCCTAATCTCTTCCCCTGGGAGGTCATGTGGAGGATAAAAGAGGACCTGGAGGTCTATGCCAATATGTCAAAGCAAACATGTGACACCTTGCTGATGAACTCTAAGCTGATAGCAAAGCTGCAGCAGGCCAAGTTTGATGTTCTGATTGCTGACCCCCTGTCTATAGGTGGGGAGCTTGTAGCAGAAATCCTAGCAATCCCTTTTGTCTACAGCTTCCGCTTCTCTGATGGGAATGTGGTAGAGCGGCTGTGTGGTGGGCTCCCATCTCCACCTTCCTATGTGCCTGCTAGCACAAGTGGGCTGACAGACCACATGTCCTTTATGGAAAGACTACAGAACTTCCTCCTTTACTCCTACATGGATTTATTTTACTTGAAGTTTTGGCGCGATGAATGGGATGAGTACTACAGTAATGTCTTAGGTAAGGCAGCTGCTGAGTGGTTTCTTCTCTTGCATACGTTGTGCCTTTTGAATGTTTTGGGACCTCAATGCTGTTGCCTCAAAATACTGTTTCTCAAAGGCCAGCAGAGGTGGCAATCCTGTTTTGTTCACAGAGGCTCTGCTTTCCCTTTTAGGTCTGATCTAGTCTGTCAGACATGAGAGCAGTTTTGCTCTAGTTCCTCTTGAAGACCTTCAGAGCATGTAGTTCTAATTTCTGTTCGTGATGATACTGCTGGTGAATTCTTGCACTGAGCTGTATGTTCATTTTAGTGCTTTCAGAGGAGAGTTGCTGCCTTTTCATCTTGATGATGCCAACTTCTGCAATTAAGATGGCAGAAGATAAAGGCTGGAGGGCAAAATCATTCCTTAACTAAATGTAAGGCACTGGTGACAGCTCCATTAGCACCACAGGGATGGAGTTAATCCTGTTGTAACTAGGAGCACTGGCTGTCTCTGGACAACTGCAGAACAAGAAAGCACCCTTCACTCACACGACATGCATTGTCTGGAAGTATCTCGCAATGCTGCACGGTGCAGAGTGTTGAGCATGAGTTCAGATTCTTGAATAAGAAATACTATGAGCTGTCACCTTTACCTTTCATCCACCATTCAGAATTTGAAACAGTCTCCTTAAACTACATGTGTACCTGAAAATTTTGTTCCAACAGTACAACTCAGGCATGATTCAAAGTCTATTAAACAGACCTTTTAGTTCAATGGACTTTGAATCTTGTCCAGAATATCTGCCAGTTTAGGCAGATAATGAGTGAACAGCAAGCAAAAGGGCATCTCTTTTGTTGCTGTCCAATCCCTCCCTGTGTTTGCCAAGAACACTCTGTGCTCTGCAAACCAGTCCTTCTTCTCTGGACTGATTTTTTCTCTTAATACCACATAAGACCTAATTACACCATTAGATCACTCTACATGTAATACAGACTTTATTTTCACTTCATCAACTTTGTAACTCACTCATTACTCTTTATAAAGAAAAACAAACTGGTGTAGATTATTATCCTGATCAAGTAATATAAGAAGGTGCCCGCCAGATAATTTTTATCTTGCTGCTTATTTTGCTTGATTCCTGCTTGTATTAGGGTGGATTTGGGAAATAATTTATCAATATTTCTATAACTTAGACTCTCCAGTTTTGCTTTGTGTAGAAAATACTGCAAAGACAACTTGCAACATGTATCTAAGAATATATATTTTTCCAAATGGGAAGCTATAAAACATCAGATTACCATTACTTTTTTTTTTTTTTTTTTTGTAGATAGATTTCTATAGGCAATATATTTTGCATAAAAAGACATTCAAAGCATCTATGGATTTGGCCAATTTTTCCCAATATGTGTCAGAAGCAGCTGACCCAGTCCTCAAGAAAACTAGGGATGTCTGTACCTGTCTTTGTTGTCTGAGCAGCCACTGATTGAGTCAACATTTGAAAAACGCTACAGAACTTCATTTAAAAGCTTTTCTTCTCCCTGACAGTTGATCATCACTTTGTGATTAATTTATTTTTTATTTGGAACTAAATTTTCTGTGATCGTTCTCTTCCCCAAAGCGCATTTTTATTCCAAGCACAGGTAATGAAGTCTTTCTGTGCCAAGAATTCCAGCAACAAGACTGCACTTCTATATTACACAAAATAAATGCTTCCCACTTGTACTGCTCTAAATTAATCCTGAAGGTTCAAAATCCTTTTAAAGATTGTATTGCCTTGTTTGTGGCCACCTGCCAAGGCTGAACACAGGACAGGGCAAGGAATAGGTCCAGATTTGTGAATGTTTTCATCTTATGCATGGCTCCATAGATTACACTGTTTGGGAGTGCCAAAAGACAAAGGTAAGGCTCCTGTTTCTCAATCTACAGCAAACAAGGTAACTCCCGTGCATGTTGTAAAACCTCTTGTACCTTGTCCGCAGGAAGGCCCACGACCCTGTGTGAGACGATGGGGAAAGCAGAGATATGGTTAATCAGAACTTACTGGGATTTTGAATTTCCACGCCCTTTCCTGCCCAACTTTGAGTTTGTTGGAGGACTTCACTGCCAGCCTGCAAAGCCACTACCAAAGGTACTCCAGCTCTGCTCTGCTGTTGGCTGGTTGGTTGTGCAGCAGAACAAAGACTGTTTCTCTCCCTGATCAACCATGCATGCCATGTCCTGAGAAAGCTCATTCTTAAAGAAATGCTCTGCTGCTGGTGGGGAGCATGGAGCTGTTTAGCATCTATGTCCCTCCAGCTGAGGGCTGGGGTTACAGGGTTACAGCCTGCTCTCTTGAAAGAGGATAGCGGATGTCAGCATGGTGGAAGAGTGTCAGTTTTGGGAAAAATAGGGGCTACCTCAGAGTAGTTAAGTGTAAGATTTAATTATAAGATATAGACTTGCAGCCCACGATAACACCGAAATACCTGATGCAAAAAGGCACTGTGTGGCAGGACAAATTCTTTAACTAAAATAGGGTCAAGACTTGCAGAAAGAGATGAGTGAGAAACACTTTTTCTATTGTACTTAGTTTAAGACATTTTAAAGGGAGTAAAAGACTTGATCATCTCCAGCCCATGCTCTGCTGTGAATGGCCATATTCCAGGGGAATTTGAAACTCCCAGATACTGATGATGGCAACATGACAAGCTCTGGTCTAGATTAACATTCCTGTAGGAGCCTCAGAAGATGCAGGCCATTTTCAGGGCAAGTTGTCTACTAAAAAAAAAACCTTCTAACTCTCTACTCCCTTCCCACTCCCCTGGAGCAAGGGTTCAGGTTGGGGGAAATGGATAACCATTCTCTTTTGGATATTACTGACACTTCACATGACACTAACTAAAAAAAGGGAACAGGAAAACCTACTGGTCTGATTTGTAGAAAATCTTCTGAGCAATGTGGTGTGTTGCTAGAAATAAGAGAGCTGTCTGACTAATGAAATGATGGCAGTGACTCAGTGAATCTGTGAAAAACCCTGTCAGTTTTCAGCATGGTCCTTTCCTGCAGATTTATGTAATGCCAAGTACTTTTTCTAGGAAAGTCCAGAACCATGACTGTGCTAGGGAGTGGGCCACAGAGTACGGCCTGCTCATGACAGTGCTAGGATCTATTACTGCTGCTTGTGCTCCAAAATAAATGCGCCCTGAAACTGCTAGACCTTCTTTCCAAAAGACAAAGCATCTGTCACCTGTCTCAACTTGTTGTGCTCATTCTTGGGGAGAAACTGTTTTGCTCAGGGCCAGGTCTGTCATTGTAACAGCCTTCCGTCAGTGGAGGTGCTCACACACCACAATCATCAACTTGATAAGCTAAAAAGGTTTTGCCCTTCTTTCACAGAAATCTGTGCAATCCGCATGGCCTAATTGCTCTTGGTATGTTTTCTGCCTCTCCTAGGAAATGGAAGAATTTGTTCAGAGCTCTGGGGAACACGGCATCGTGGTATTCTCTCTTGGGTCAATGGTCTACAACCTAAGTGATGAAAAAAGTAACGTGATTGCCAAAGCCCTCAGCCAGATTCCACAAAAGGTGAATTTCCTTTCAAGCTTAAAACAACTTGCTGTGTTTTTTTTTCACTTCTGTTGCCTTCAGTGAGACTTTTATGTTTGAACTGGCCTGTTTTTCATCTGCACCCCTGCTGGATGGGCTCCAGCCGGGAGGCTGGGCTCTCTCTCAGACAGGCAGACTGCTGAGCTACCTCATGGAGAGTTCTGGTGTTTCACCTTCTCTGAACCAAATCACGTGGAGCTGTGTCCATAGGTCAAAATACAGAAATCACTCTAGGTGATTTTATAATAAGCACATAATAACTAATCAAAGAGTTCAACTGGAGCCAAAGCTATTTGAATTACTGGGAAAAGGCACATGGGTTTGAGATAAAGCCCTACATTACATGTAATATTATACAATGGCACATTGCATGCACCCTGTTTATCTTATTTTGCCTTTGTTCAAGGTCCTCTGGCGGTACAAAGGGAAAAAACCAGAAACTCTGGGCTCCAACACCAGGATTTATGACTGGATACCCCAAAATGACCTGCTTGGTGAGGCTGATTCTATCTGGGATGGACTGTACACCCTTGGAAAAACTGTTTTGTTTTTCCACTGAAATGGCTAATTCAAGGACCAAAATCACGTAACCCTTATAGGCACACTTAGTTTCATAACCTAAACTACAGAGCTTTGCTCTTGGGAACTTTAATTTCCTAAAAGGCTCTGACTTGCAGATCTTGGTGGCAGTTGTCTAGAAAGGCTCAAAACCACCTGTAGGCAGGCGTAAATACCCAAGTCGAGATGTACTCTGGAGTTGAATTTGGCCTATGCAGGTAATCTCCAGGGCTTATTCTTCAAAATGCTTGACCTAAGCAAGGTTGAAGCAGGGGGCCGTTGTGAACCTGGTAACATGTGAAAACTAGAACTACACAAGAGCAGAAGGGCTGAGGTAACTGGGGTAGTCTGGCAGGACACGATGATTTGCACGCTGCATTAAAAAAGTACGAATGCTGAGCCAGAAGTCAGGTGCTGTTCCCTTCTCGGGCATGCATTTGCCCCACTGTTCTGCAGTGCTCACATCCCACTCAGTGCAGTCTGCCACAGCTGCTGTTATATGCGCCTCTCCTTCCCTGTTCCAGGACATCCCTCCACCAAGGCCTTTATTACTCACGGTGGGACGAACGGGCTCTATGAAGCCATCTACCATGGGATCCCCATGGTTGGGATTCCCATGTTTGCCGACCAGCACGACAACATTGCTCACTTAAAGGCAAAGGGAGTTGCAGTTCACGTGGATTTCAGCACACTGAAGACTCAGGACCTGGTTGATGCACTGAATGCAGTCATTTACAACTCCACGTGAGTTTTGTTCTTGCCTTGCAGTAGGCTGAGGTTATTGAAATCTTGGGCTGCTGATGTGAGAAATTCTGCTAGCTCTTCTCAGATGAAAAATGAAGAGTAGCTGAATATCGGTTTCAGATGAAAACCATCTTTTATTTCTGAGAATCAGCATTTCTCAATTAGGAGAGATCAGCAATTTGGTTTTCCTTATATTTTATGATCCCCTCAAGAAAAAGTTCTTGGAAAGCTCTTGAGACAGTTCTCTGCTAGTGTAAATCCTCTGGAAGCACTAGGTGACAGTTCTAGTTGTATTAGGTCTTCTCTGCCTGTAGTCACAACAGTTCTTTCTCCTACCCCAATATCCTTAGGTTACCATACCTATCATTCAGGACTTAAGAGGGTAAGGAAGGCCAACAGCTTGGATCCCTTGCTAAGGCCATTGTCAAAACAACTGGAAAAAATGCAGGAGTCCTCAGTCTTTGGCAGCAACTCCTGTCAAGTGTGAGTGACAGGAGTTCCTTCAATATGGACTTTCAAACTCCTGAAGCAAACAGACCAAGTCTGATGGAGAGATCTATTATTTGAGGGAGTCAGCCATGTGGGAGGTGACCTGTGACAACCTGGATGATATCCGGTGTATGCAGCCTCCCCTACCTTGCCCTTAGTTTTACTGCTGAGCATGACACCCTATGGCCTGGGATAGCCCTTGGGTGAGTTGCAGTCAGCTGTCTCACCTCTGTCCCCTCCCAACTCCTTGTGCACCCCCCGCCTCCTTGCTGGTGGGGTGGGGTGAGAGGCAGAAAAGGCCTTGGCTCCGTTTAAGGGCTGCTCAGTAGTAGGGAAAGCATCCCGATTTTATCAACACTGTTTCCAGCACAAATCCAAAACATAGCCCCCACCAGCTACTGTGAAAATGTCAACTCCATTCCAGCCAAAACCAGCACACTGTATTATACTGGAACATAAAATGCTGCAAATGTTTCCACGCTGCTTTTTTAAAGGAGTATCTGGAATAATTTCTAACAACTTTTCAAAATACTGGCTTTCTCTATTAGTAATTTTAACCCAATTTTATGCATACAGGAATAAACTGGACCAGTTTCAAATATATTTAGATAAGACTGCTGAAAATAAAAGCAGGGCTGTCTACTTTCCTCAACAGGACTGCCAAGTGCTCAATGGGTTGTTTCAGGAATCATTGATAAATCTTCCTGGTTTCTTCTTTTTTTTTTTTTTTTTTTTTTTTCTTCCCAGCTATAAGGAAAATGCTCTAAAGTTATCCAAGATACAACATGACCAGCCAGTTAAGCCTCTGGACAGAGCTGTCTTCTGGATTGAATTTGTCATGCGCCACAAAGGAGCAAAGCACTTGAGGCCAGCCTCTCACCATCTCACCTGGTACCAGTACCACTCCCTGGATGTTCTGGCATTCTTGTTCACCTGTGTAGCCATTCCTGTCTTCATTCTTGTTAAGTGCTGTTTATGTTGCTGTAGAAGACGTGGCAGGATTGCAAAGAGGAAGAAAGAATAGACATCCTATTCTCATCAGCACTTTTTCTTCTCCTAGGCTGATTCAGCAAGGCATTTATGCACATTCTCTGGTGAATAAAATTATTAGGATATGCTTTAATCTGGGCATATCACGAAGTGCCCCACTGAACAGGGTCATGACACAGATCTGCTTGCTTAGCCAGCAAATTCCTTCTGGCCTAAATAAAACTGAATTATAGTTGCTTTAGCCCTTGGGACTGTGTTAGCTGATCATACATGGTCCCTACCATGTTAATTACTGCTCTAATTTTTAAAATTCATTTTGGTATATTCCATAAATTCAGCCTTCCTCTGTGCGGTACTGTGGGTCTGCAACTGGTCTCCTTACCTCAACTCTGTCCTCTCCTCTAGTGTCACCCAGGCTTGATGATCCACAACCAAAATGCCTCTCCTGTCAGAGTCTCCCTTTCCAGACAGGACAGTGAAGCTAAGATCACAGGCTCCTTAAAAGTGCCCATGTGAAGGGCCGTGATCATAAAAATGGGGCACTGCAAGTGGCAAATGCACTGACTACTTGGGGGCTAAGGGGAGACCAGAGTCCTTAGACTGGAAGATAAACTACTAAATCAGAGAAATTATTTTTCTGGAAACTATTTATCTTTTTCTTTTAGTCTGGAGTCCTGCTGCACAGGCCATCATTCTAACTGCAACACTGCAGGGATGTGAAAACCACCTCTGTCAGGAACTTGCCCATTTTAACCCCCAAATGCTTCTGAGCCATGTAAGAAAAACTCTAGAGAGGGAACTTGCAAAGCAGTAACATCACAAGTGGGAACAGTGCACTAGTCACTTGCCTTGCCTGAGGGAAAATAATGCTGCTCTTTGGTCAGGTCAGACTGGTACTAATTGCAGTACTTCTCCAGTTGTTAAAGGTGTCTACTAAAATGCTGCTAGTTCAGGTCTCCTGTTCTATGTAAGGTTATGATGTGCCAGCTTACTCAAGAAAGAACCTGCTCCAATTTTAACTGATATTTGTTGTACTCTGGAATTGTTTTCAAACAGAATTGGCTGAGAAAACATGATTATTTGTTTACATAATAAAATTCCTTATACCACATCAACTTTTTTATTAGCATTGTCATGTTTCAATGTCTGATTAAATCTCTTCATACTATAACACGTACAAAAGCTCAAGTGAACTGTTTCCAAACTGAAGAGGGGTTAGAACAAGACTGCTGCATCTCAGGGTAATTTCTGGTACGCTGTTCCTACTGTCACGATGGAATCATACGCAGGAATATGCATATTGAAATGTGCACAGTGAACAGAAAATGGAACGGTGTGACATCCAGGCGCCAGATCTGAAAGGGTTTGCTGTAACTGTTCACAGCTGGGTCCCCAGGTACAGCTCCATCACGCTTGGTCACTAACAGCCCCCATCACCCAGTTGGAGAGATGTCAGTTCGGATCCCCGAAAGCCAGCAAGCCTCCTAGAATGCTCCATGGACGTTAGTCAGACAGGGCTAACAAAGGACACTGGAAACAGGATAGCTGGGAAAAGTCAGACAGAGAAAGTGCTCCATAGTCACTGCAAGGAGGGGTGCTTCTTTTCTGTAACCTACTCAGAAAAATTCAGATTATCTAGTATTGAATCTAAAAGGTAAAAAATCCAAACCAACCAACCAAAAAATTCAAACGAAAAACCAACACCCCCTCCTCATTTGTTCATTTTAAAATCTACATATAAAGCAGAGAAAGACATCAAAGCAGGAAGGTGGTCTATGCTGCATTTCTCCAATTAGACACAGTATGTATATTAAATTTGGCACACTGATCTGACCCTACAGCTAGTGTGCACACCTCTCTGTGAACAATAAACTGTTTTGAAGAAACCAAACATATGTTCAGCTTGTTGTGCTGCTTAAAAGAATCCACACATATTGCACTTTGGAGGCCTAACTTTTTGCTTAACACATCTAGATTTTTACTGGAATTGTAGACTAAAATAAACAAGAGCCCAAATTATTGCCAGATCTGAAAAACAAACTCTTCCACAACTGCCACACTGTGGTCAATCCTGTACTGCCAGTTATAAAAAAAGACATCTGCAGCAGCCAGCACGGTGGAGCTTAGTTCTTTATAACACATGCTACAGTCTGGCTTTGTTATATGATCAGATGCTGAAGAAAGTTTATCGAGTCCACCAAAGCAGCGCTACTCTTAAAAGTCTTGAAAAATTGGAAATTGCTAAAGAAACTGAAGAACTTTCACTACAAGTTTTACTTTCCTACATTCCCCCCACCCCTGCCCCAAGTTTTACTGTTGGCATTTAGGTTAAAGTATTTCCTATCTAAGAGAAATAAAAAGTGATGCAGTTTTTACTACAAAGAACACACGAGGATCATCTGGATCTTGCAGAATTAACACACTTCTGAGAGACAGATATGATTGCGGCCAAGGAGAGCCTCTCAGCAGCTCAAAGATCATATGATTAAGATGAATATGTAGGGCCTTACTGACTCTGATGAGCTGCAGGAATTGTAAGCTGACTACATCACTGTGAAAACAGAAAAGCAATCACCTTTTATTTCAGCAGTCCTTTCCCTAAATTCAGGCTTCAAATCAACTTCACCTACCACAAGAACATTTTAACTATTTTTTGAACACAAATGTTTTCCTAGAACCGCCAGAATCTATCAAATCTAGCAAGTTCAGAAAATAAAGAAACCTGATGTGACGTTTTAAACATTTCAATAGTTACCAATTTATTTTTATAAAAAAAATGGTAGCAATGTAGAATACAGCAATATTTTCTGGTTCCACGCACGCAGGTTGTGAACATTCCAAGCAATGTGTACATTTTGGAAGGAGACTAGACAAGAGAATTGACCAAAATGTTACTGAACATGGGAAGATTTTTAAAAAAGGTTAAAAATTAGGTATCAATAGTGTCTTCTTAATATTGCTTTCATTACTGAAGACTGAAAAAAACACTTGACTTTACAGATGGGGTTAAAAAATGGGATGGGGGAAAGAAAAAAAAAGGCTGCTACAACACTGCCATACAGTCAAAAAAAAAAATTTCAAACTTCAATATTTGCATACTTGATAGCAGCATTCTCCCATCGAACCATATGAAACTACAGGAAGAAAACATCAAAGCAAAAAAAAAAAAAAATAAAGGCAGTTATCCATCAGTATTCAAAAACCTAGAATGAAGTCACTAAGTAGATGAACACTTATTGAGAATGAATTAATCAGTATCTACATTCTTAGCTGTTTCCAACTCTGTTCCAACAGAAACGTGAAGTTGAGTGTCAGCTTTGCGTATTTTATATTTGGCCTATTTGAGTTTTTTTCCAGTTCATAATTCACTGCATGCTTGGAATAGAGAGGGTCATTATAAATCCTTCTACACAACGAACTTTAGGTAGACAGCTGAAAATAAAATGTACTACTTGTAAACACACAAAAAAATACAAGCTTTTTTTGTTTCAAGTGAGCACTGGTTCCAGATAGATTATCTTCGGTATCTACCTCTTTCACCTCTGTCTCTGTCCCGGTCACAAATCCTCTCTCTCTCCCTTTCCCGATCACGGCCTCTGTCGCGTTCTCTGTCTCTTCTATTGTCTCTAGGGCGGTCCCGTTCCCGCTCCCGGTCCCTCTCCCGAGGCCTGCTTCTCCGACCGCTGACAACTGCTTGTGTGCGGCGAAGAAAGTCGTCTACTCTCATGTCATAGTCGTGCTGTGACGAAAGGACAGTTCTGTTTATCTCCTTTCCCATATTAAAATTCCCTCCCTTATTCATAGGGCTGGCTGTACCTCTTCAGAAAGCCCAGTATTTTAAAAAAAACACAACCAAATCCCAAAGGTCCAGCATCCATGTGCAGAAGCTGGGGTTCAAATGCCAGATACTAGTGAGAGACCTGAAAGCTGAGCAGCCTTCTAAGCCAGTTGACAGAAATTTAACCATCTGCCCTGTTTTCTGATATGCCCGTAAAAAAATAGTAGAACACAGACTTCTGCTGATAAAGTAATTTGTTGTGCATGACCACAGGCAATGTGACAAGCGTGTCCTTATTCAAACTGGGCTTCAGCATGAAAACATTCAGAGCTGTACAGCTGGAAGCCAACTTAAAAAACACCCCTCAGTTTAGGAGTCTAAAAATTTTGTGCTCCTACCTCATCTGGGAGAGAAAGGGTTTTCAAATTTGCTGGAAATGTCAATCTAACAATCTTTCTAAGGAACTCTAGTACAGGTCATAAAAATGTAGTTTATCACGGTCAACAAAGCTTAGGTCAGGCTATACCTGGACCCCCGACTCCTACTGTGGCAGACTTGCGTCCCCCTCTGTCTCTGTGGACACTCACCACTCGTTTGTCTCTGTATCTCGCTTCATGTGGTACAGGATGATGTCCTGAGTACGGAGGGTGAGCTTGAGGTGGAGGTGCGTGGTGCTGATAGTAAGGGTGGTGTGGTGGTTGCTCCATACCTGGATATGGCGGCTACAAGAAAGTTACAGGAAGTTTGTTGAGTGTTTCAAAGCTAAGGAATGCACACAAGGCTGAGCACTGGCAATGAAGAACACAGGTTGCTTTCATTACAATGGAAAACACAGCAACTAAATATACCCAACCACAGCCTCTTAACTGAATGGCAGACTACTTTCCATTGAGTTGGCATGCTTTACTACCTCTCTACCACTGCTTTTGGAAGTTTGGTCAACACACTCCCCAAAACCAAACACATGCCTTCCCTCCATATCTGCCTCAACGTGACACTACATAAAACTTCTGCTACTTAAATGTGGTGGGCTTGGTTTTTTTAAACTATGCATATGGAATATGAATTCTGTGCAAACCAGTCAGCTCTTACAGAATGAGTCTTTTCAGTGTCACTCCTTATGAGTATGTTTCTATTTTAACTGAAAAAACCCTTACTTTGCAAGACAAATTATTTGACAAATGGTTAAATTTTTTTTTTTTTTTTAACAAGACGTATTTTGGCTGATTGCTTCCATTTTTGCAGTCAGCAAGGCCTTCCTTTCCCATATTACAAAACCACCATTGCTAACATTTTTGTTACAAAGAA